TTTCACGCTGTCCCACACATTGAGGCACGAAGATTTCCACACAAAGACACCCTAGGCCAGGTGTAATGCCAACAGGCTGCTTGTCGTGAAGCTGCCTTTGAGCAGAAGCAGGGATAAATGTAAGTGTTCCCCTTTGCTGTCCAGAGGTAGTCAGGGAGTAGAAAGGCCAGCCACTTGCTAGGGGATGGAGATGACACCAGGATATGCATGTGGTGATAAGGCCAGCGGGGCAGACAATTTTAAAGCTGCAGTTGTAAAATAGAGTGGAGCTCTGTCACTGGCTTACCCACAGTTAGACGTGTGTTAATTTCAAACCCTAAGTTATTCCTGAATCTTCTTGAATCAATGAGGCTAGACCCACGTTTGTTAGTCACAAAATTTGATAATTCCAAAGTTTTTGAACAAGGATACAGGTTTTGTTTGGAACTTCTTAGGCTTCTCAGAAGTGTGGTTTCTTGTTCTTATGTTCGTACTGCTGTGGTGATACAAATCCCATCTCTTGTCCAGACGTGGTTATGGAGAAATCAACTACCATCTAATATAACTGTGTCCACATGAAAGTTTATGGTAGTTAACTGCTGATCCCTCCCACCAGCTTCGATGGTTTTAGCACACTTTACACATTTAGAGTCAAAGGAATATTTGGATCTGCCCTAGAAATGTAAATTTCTAAGTTTATAACGGTAGTACAGAAAAAGAGCTTTACAGAAATTATTTTAAATACAAAAATGCACTTTGCCCCATACCTTCTCAGTCATCACCACATGAAAAAAAAATTGTGGTTTTAGATCATAGCTTGGAGCCTGAAAGAGGCCATGCAAAGACTGTGCTCTGAGAGAAAGGATGTCTGGCAGAAATCCAATCTGACAGCACTTTGTCTGATCATATGTATATACCAATGTACCCTGGATTTTTTGTCTGCATCGTTTTGATGCATGCACATGGGACTTCTGGCTTCATTCAAGAAGAGGCGCTGTAGTTTTCTGGTGTCCATCCCTTCACCTCATGGTATCAAACACAACTATACCCAGCTACTCCTGTCATTCTTTGGGGAGGAATAGAATTTAATTTAAGAGGTTGGAAATACCACTGAGACTTAATCTGCCACGGAGATACACAGCACAGTGAGCCATTCAAATTATGCCCAGCTACTGTTCTAAAAATGTTTCCCCTGCATGCAGACACAAAGACTGGGTTAAGCCCTACTGAAAATGAGCCACACAATGTGAGTGGGTGATGTACACTTCACAGCCTCCCTCGCCTGTCTCATTCACCTTGGTGTCCTCTGCACGGCACAGCCCTGCAGGGCCTGGACCTCCTTCAGCTCCGTAAGGTTGGCAGTTACATTTGGGCAGCTTTGGCTGGGCCTGTACCCCAGCACTTATGCGGTGCCTGCATGACGGACTTCTGTGCAGCTCCAGAGGCTTCCTGGGGTCCAAGAGGCTGATCTCCAGCTGGCCTTCTAGCATGGACAGACACCGCTGGGGCACTCACAATGTACCTCATTTTATTTAGGTCTAAGGTAGCTGTTTATGTAAATTTATGCTATCCACAAGAAGTTCTCTGTCTATATTACAAAAGGGTAGTGTTCCTATGCTAGTAAAGTACTTCTAAGGAAAACATGGGGGGAAAAAAAAACATGAAACATGTGGTTTATCTCCCATGATGAGATCATGACAGAAATTACTATAGCAGTGAAACTCATACCTTAATTCTCATCCTTCACACACTTCAGCACAAGTGTTTTAACAGTGTGGATTAATTATTAAACAGGTCAATACAGTTTGATAAGGGAGACTCCCAATCTTTAATTAGGCTGGTATCCTACTCTGTTTTTGGATCTTGGATAAGTGTCTCAGATGTGATGAATAAATTAATCACCATGAATTGGTGATTAATTAATCTAGTAGTAAGCACTTACATTTTAAGGTATACTTCAAAAAAATTGCAAGTGGATCTATATTAGATGACTTACCAGTGTTGGGGAATTTTTCTTGTTCCCCTAGAGGCAAATCAAACACATGTTATTCTTAAATATAAAAAGATTTAATAAGCAACGCATTGGACAAATCTGCCATAAGCAGATCTATGAGGAGTCTGCAAAGACACAGCATTAGCTGGTTCCTTTTATGCATTAGTACCAGCACTGACCATGTGAGCATTGGCATTGCTTTAAACGCTTTTTGATTCATCCCAGTTCTGTTCACTAAATTCTGTTTACCAAAAGCGGCCCCTGAGCACACACGTTCCATGATTGTTACAAGACAATCAATCCTGTGGCTTTTCTTACCTCATCAGAAAGGAACGGTTGCTCTCTTGCATGGAGTTATTTTGTCCCTGATGTTCCTGCTTCCATCTAGTTTAGGCCTTCTTGTCCCACCTTAGCTGATTCTTCTGTCACAAGGTATCATGCTGAGTTACAATTTGAATTTCCCCTTTACCTGTGGGTGAAAAATTGGACTTGACCAAACACATTGTTCCCATCCTCTGTTCTTAGGGTGTAAGTTTGCTGCAGGCTCAGTTCCACACTAGTAAAACATTTGGGGTATGTCAAAGGTGATTTTAGGTTAATGCCCTGGGTTTGAACTACATAATATTACATAGCCTTTGTGTAGCAGTCTGAATAGCCTGTTAAGTGCTCTAAATCTTGGTGCAGCCCTGGAAACTGAATGAGGTTGCAAATGGTCAGATAGCTTTTATAAAGAGGATTCTGAGCACTTCTTTATTTAGCCTAGAAATTGAACCATCAGCCCTTTTTCATGTTGCTGGGACAATGACTAGTGCTTCTCTAAAGCCTTTATATGAGGATCTTGTCTTCACAAAAGCATTTTTTTTCATTGCTACTTGGAAACATAGGATACTGAGGTACAGAAAGGTACAGTTACCTCATTCCTGTCTGCAGAATTTAATTCTAATTCTGGGTTCAAATATGCAAAATTCAGATGTTTCCGTCCAGATCTGAACTTCATAACCTCAATTCATCACAAAATCCAGCATCAGTTGCTCACTTCAGACCATCTTTGAGTTCGCTGATACTGTACACTTCAGAGAACATTGTGTGCATACGCTGCTCTCAAGCCAACCTCATTCCCTTGGTCTCTCTTACACACACACTTGAAATGGAAGATAGAAAAAAAGGACTTCCTGCATTCATTCTTTTTTTTTTTTGTTTGTTTTTCACCAGTGTGATTTGTGCTTCTAGTGAGATTGTGAATATTCAGCTCACGTAGTACAGCCAAAGCAGAGCCTATACTCACCAGTCCCTTGCAGACAAAGAGAATATGCTCTATAGAAGTTTGTACTTCACAGTCTGTTCCTGAAACAGCTCGTGTGGCCTGAATAACTCAAAGACCATTTCCGCATTTCAGCTGTATCCTGGTGGTAGCTGCATTTTAGTGGATGGAAAAAAGTCCTTAGGTATTTTAGCTGGAGTTTGCAGAGAACTTTGTGTGGAAAAAGCGATGCAGAAATGTATTAATGAATTAATAATAGTCAGTTTTCTTTATGGGTTTCTAACTGACCTGAATCTTTCCATGGTTCCTGAATCCACTTTACCACTAAATTGGTTTGAATAAGACCCCATTTTTGCTAACCCAAACCTGTCCTTGTCTGTACTTCAATGCTGCAAGTTCAGCTTCATATATAGCCTTTATGATAACAGTATCATAACAGTATCAGTGTGAGGCAGGAAAAAACATTGTTTAGACAGCAAGAGCTACTAACAAGACATTGCGAACGGGCAGTGAAGTTCCTGTGGTCCCAGACCAGGACAAACGTAGTCAGTCTGAATGATGCAGTGCTATTCAAGATGTTCAAAAGAGTTCAGACTAATGAGTCACATGTTGACATTTGATTGTCACTGGTTATGATGTAGCTGAATACTGCATCAGAGGAGCAGTATGAACTTTAGGGACAGAAACATGAACAGTGCCTACCCACTTGTTCGGGGTACAATTCTGTAGTAAGCAATAAAGGGTTAATATGAAGTCTTAGCCTAGAAACTAGATATGAAATACAGGTTTCAGGCCCAGTTTGAGTGTTTGCTGTTCCTGGAAGTTGTCAGTATGCGCAGTTCTGTTCTGACCCTCTTTTTATTTTGTCCTCATAGAACCCACTATGTACAATAATCTCTCTGCAGCAGACTAGTCATGCCAGAAAGAGTTACGAAGTTGTATGTCTCTTCCCTGAGGTTTGTAGTTTAGACATATCCTAAGCAGTTATATCCCAGTCTTTTGATTCTTCTTTGTTTTTCAAAGAAATGCAATTTTATTTTGTCAATGGTTGAAAAATGGTTCCACATTACCAGTCAGAAGATGGAAGCTCTAGGCTAAAGGAAAATTGAAGAGGCATACCTCGTTTCTGACATGAGTGCTGTGAATTGTATATGTGTTGGCTTTGTTCTTGATGAATGTCAAGGGCACAGATTAATACCCTTGAAGGAGCATTAAGGATCTGGGGTTTGTGTTCCTTTACACCAGGGTGTGACTCTTGTGGCTCATAGCACAATTTTAATGAGACCTCATTCTGATTCATCATGATCATCATTCATGATTCTTAAGGAATCAGAGATTAAATTGTACCAGAAGTACATACAGCTTATCTACATCAACCACCATCGGTCTTCTTGGCATTACAATGATTACATGAGGTTGGCTGGTCTATATAAAGCCTGCGTATAGCAGGAGGACTTCGTCACGTAAAAATGTAACTGGATTTGTGCTTGCTAGAAGAGGATTTCCAGCACACCCAGCTTGTAAACTTCACTGTTAATAACCTTGATTGTGAGCTTCTCATGGACACTACAATGTTACATCGCTTCTCTGGACACTAAAATGACTACAGAGAAATGAGACATTTTGCTTTTTTTAGCTTTTCCTTGTTCACTGGGGATTTATTTGTGTGGAAGATTTTCCAGCATGTGTGTGTTTGGGGCAGACTCCACACAGGCACCCAGCTTGCAGAAAAGCACCTAGATATGAGGAGTCTACCTGTTTTCCCAGCAGCACCTCCCTGATGGACAGAACAGAGAGAACCCAAAGGGAAGCTTTATCCACAGTGTTCCTGTGAATCACCTTTGCCCGGCTACCTTAGCTTGGACAGTCCAGTTATCTTGTAAGTATTTGAAAAGTTGGTCCACGTCCCCCTCCTTCCCTCCTGTGTGAGCTCACACAGATGCTGCTTGCACAGCACAGTCCAGCACAGCACCGTACCTCACTGCACCACGCTTCACCGCATGGCACTGCAGGGCATGGCACCTCGCCGCACTGTGCCTCACTGCACTGCAGGACACGGCACCATCCTGCACTGCATTGCATGGTACCACACGCCATGGCTCTACACCGCAGCAGGGGCTGGCACAGAGCACCTTTGGGCCACTGGGCCTGGGTAGTACTGCCCCTTGGCGCAACCACCTAACAGACCTCCCAGACAGAGGACAGACCACCACTGTTACAGCAATGCAGGCAGGCTTGCCCTCTTCAAATTGGGCTTAAAACCTGCTCAAAGGTCTGCACTTCTCCTTACTGCATTCAGCAATGTGGCAAAGCAGGTGGCAACCACAGCCTCCACATCCACAGCCTGCCCTGTTTCAGGCTAACTGCAGGGTGCAGCACACACCAGTATGCACATCTGCACCCCTGGATTGATTCCTGGGTGCATTCTGGACTGGGAGGATGGGAGTTTTGGGTGCACATCCACTTGCTGTGTGGCCATTACCAGCTCATTTTGAACCGCTGGGTTTGAAATACTGAATTACCTTAGGTTTGGTTTATAGGTATTTGTGGAGTGGACATAGAATTTGTTCTGCCAAGCACCGGTGGGCTTGCAGGTCAGGCCAGCGCCACAGCTTTTGTACGCAGCTCCAAGGCTTGGCTTTGCCATGTGCACCATGACGCCTGAGGACCCCGCGCTCTCCTGGAGCACAGGTGCTGGGAGCTCCCCTGCCAGCGGCTGCTGCACAAGGTGCCACGAGCCAGCCGGCCAGCGGCCGCAGCATGAAACCCCCCATGGCTGGGGCAGGGGGGCGGGGGAGCTGCTGGGCTGCAGGGCCCAGCGGGGCGGTGGGAGCTGTGTCCGGGCTGCCCTCGGCACCTGAGGCCCGACTGTGAGGGGAGGGAACGGCCGGCGGGCACTGCCCAGGGCTGCTGGAGGGGCTCCTGTGCCAGCCCAACTGCAGCGGGCTGCCAGGAGCGGCAGGTGGCACTGCTGGCTTAAAAACCAGAAGAATGCACCCCATCAGTTTGTTATGCTCACACGCCTCTTGCAGCAGCTATGCCTCACCAAGGGGAAACAAAAATGTCCAGAGTTTTATCCTGGTTCTCTGAACACTGCTGGGAAGCACCAGCAATCTCTTCAAGAAATAAGAGCAAATGTACAGGCATACACTGCGAGGTGTAGTTCAGATCAGCAGCAGGGATTAGATGTGTTCCCTCAGGGGAGCCATGATGCTGAACATTGTGCTGGACTGGGCCCCTGTCCTCTGAGCTTCAAACTCCCTATGCCTGGAAATTTGGGAAGCCCTCTCCCCCTGCCTTGACTGGTGTAATGCGATTCAGTTGGGAGTGGACCCACCGACATGGGAAGTGCTCTATCAGCTCTTAGTATTCTACGCAGATTTTGCAGAGTTTGGATTTGGCTGGGTGAAAGGCCTTTAAAAAATTAGGAAATCCTGAATCAGAGTGAGAAGGGCATGAGATTTCCTGCAGTGCTGTAGGCAAAAACAGGGCTGGTCGGCAGGGTGCCAGATGACCAGGGAGGCAAACAGCAAGTTTGCAGATGACACAAAACTGGCGGAAGTGGCTGGTACACCACAGGGCTGTGCTGCCATCCAGACAGCCTGGAAAAATGAGCAGACAGGCACCTCAACAAGGAGAACTGCAAAGTCCTGCGCCTGGGGAAGAACAGCCCCATTCACTAGTAAATGATGGGGGCTGAACAGCTGGAAAGCAGCTCTGCAGAAAAGGACCTGGGGATCCTGGCAGACACCAAGCTGAACCTGGGGCAGCAGCGTGTCCTTGCCGCAAAGAAGGCTCGTGTCATCCTGGGCTGCAGCAGGCAAAGTATCGGCAGCAGGTCGAGGGATGTGAGCCTGCCCCTCTGCTCAGCACTGGTGAGGCCACAGCGGGAGTGTTGGGTCCAGTTCTGGGCTCCCCAGGACAAGAGAGACGTGGACATGCTGGAGAGAGTCTGTCAAGGGGCCCCAAAGGTGGTGAGCCACAAGTATTATTAGTCTTTGTGAAAAACTCAAACTTCCCTTCAGCTCAAAATCACATTTTTTTTTAATATAGCATCTCATCTGCAGAGAAGGTTGGACATATTTATCTAGCTCAATAGCATTGATTTGAGGCTGACTTGCTTGGAAATGGCACGTGGAAAAGGCTTATTTTTTAATTACTATTTGCATTCATTATTTTTGCTTTATTAACTTCCTAGGGTGGATTGGAGCACTTAAAACAGACAGAGCACTTTGCAAATGAAAGTGCATTATTTTTCATCACATTATTGCATTACACCATTATCCTGAGAGTAAAGTGCACCCTTCAAGTTATAACAAGCTGTAATTTCATTGAAGGCTCCCTAGTATTTCTGCAACACTATAGCGTAGCTGCAACAATTTAGTCACAAGAGCCAGAAAATCAAATTGTAGACCCTTTAATACCCAACCGGGGATACTCTATTGCTCTAATACATCCCAGCTTGGGAATGTTTCTGCTGTACTGAAGCTGGATGGGTTGTACCTTTTGAAGACATTTCAAGCCATAGTAGTCATTCAGAGCCAACTTGGCATAGCTGTCCCTTTCTGCTCCTTAGACGTAGAGGTTGGAGCCGAGTCTGTTTGGCAATGAAGGGGTTGTTTTCTCCTGCTCTTTGGGAGGCTGTGCTCTGCTGCTTGAGCCATGAGGAACAAGAGTGAAGGAGACCTTGAGAGAATGCTTTCTGCAACTGAAGGTAGCTGCTGACTTTGAGATCTATGGAAGCAAGCCAGGAAGCAGAGTTTATTGGAAGTCTGTTTGCTTACAACACAGTGAAGGAATCTCACTGCGGTACAGTAAGTGCTGCACATTTTGCAGCACACATTTTGATTTCGTGCTGGTGTTGTAACTGGGTGCACCTCATTCTCACTGTTGCCTGCAGATGCCTTGTGAGCAGTCATGCATTTTTGATGCAATGCTCAGCCCAGCCTGAAACACAGAAGTGTTACGATAGCTGGAGCTTGGTTTGAAACTCATTGTTGAAATACAAACCGCTGTCTCACTAGTACAGTAATGTGGCATGGCTCTATGCACATCAGTGCAAGAACAATTTCTGATCTTGGATTTTGTGAGCTGTTCATACACGTACCTAGGACTAAGCAAGTCCCTGATGAGGAACCACTCCTGAGGAATTTCAAAGCAAATCTCTGTTACCATTCTTGGACTTCTGGGATTTAGCCTGAAAAGATTTCCCTTAAAGCACTTTACTGCCTGCTGTTTCTTGGCTGTAAAATCCTTCTAGCATTTTGTAATTTGACAGTTTTAATAAAATTTACTCCATTGTTTTATAAGGGAATTTTCTCTCCAATAGCTGGCTTCTGAGAAAAACAGGGTTTAAATTCTACCCCTCTCAAATTTCTTCCAGCGGTGACTATTTTATCAGTGCACATTCTATTTTGTATTCCATCTTTGTTATGCTGCAGCTCACAAAATTTTCATTCTGTTGCAAAGCAACATGATTTCACTGGGCTTTTAACTGATGACTTGCAGTCTTTCTCTAATTACCCTAACTAGGACTTTGTTTATCATGTGGGTATCACACGCTTCCTAGATGTTACTCATTGCTAAACACAAGAGAGGAAATAGGATGTAAATCTTTTAAACTAATATTTTGCAGAAGAGATTCCCCTTTGATCTTTAATGACTTTACCCCACATACGAACATTTTTACAAAGTTTGATTAATTTTTGATTCCTTCAGCTTCTTCATACTTCTGTAACCCTTTCTACGTGAACACTCTGAGACAGACAGCTTCTGTTTGGGTGAAATGGAAAGAGCCGGGGTGGAAAGTGCCCCCAGATTTCTCATGTGGAGACTGAGCCAGGCAAAATCAAGTCATAACAGCCACCTCCTCTGCATCAGCCCAGTACGTAACAGAGCAGGCAGGATACAGAGCACTTGTTGGGAAGTACGTCCATCAGTAGAAAGTTTTCCCTCTCTCTCTCATTACTTCTGTTGAAGAGGGCAAGGCAATAGAGGTTGAACGCATGTCTGCGGGGAAAAACATGTCCCACGCAACGCAGTACACAGCCCAAACACAGGTGTTTCCCAGTGCCATCTCTGGTGCTGTCGGTCCCTCAGCCTGCTGCATAGCGGGGTATGTACCGTGTCACGTGCTGGAGCCTGTGCTCTGCCCAAACTCCTCCCAAATGAACAACCCCCTCTTAATTACTTTTTCCTCATTGGTTCCAAATCTGTTACATCTGTACCCAAATTTGGTGTTTCTGACACTGCTACATAGGTAATTTTGGCCTGATACAGGTAACCTAGATGAAGGGAGCCTTGTTTCATATCTCCATTCTGATCCTATGGTCCATGCTGGTTATATTTAATTCCATTGTATGCTTTCTAGACAAAATTATCTTACTTTAGCTTTAATACCCCTACTTACTACTAATTAAATACAAACAGTCTTCATAACCCATTTAGTGTTCATACAATACTTCTGCCCTTGGACAGTGTTTATTGAACCTCTGTTTTCCCTCAGAGGTCTTAGCTAGCTTTGAAGCCATTCAAGTGGATGCTCATGCTCACAGTAGTATTTTGAGCAAATGCATGTCTTCATTCAGAAACTGATTGGCATTATTGATTTTACCATACAGTTTTGTTTTCCTTAACCCATGATGCCATAAAAAGCCTTTGTGTTAGAAAATCCCGAGTCTTCACCTTCTACAAAAAAATTCCTAAAGGCTGTTTCATATTGTAAACCCCAAAATGGAGACATCCAGAATCCCTAATAGCATTTGAAACCATAGGCTACAAAGAATCTAGATAAGTATGTGGTCTAAGAAGGTCCTTGTACCTGACATTTCATCCTTGAAAGCAAACAAAACTCCCTTCTGGAGGGTTGTGTTGCACGGC